AGGGCTCTAGACCTCCAGTGTCTCACCATGTGGTTTTGGAACGGCATTGGCAGGTTCTGTGTTGTACCCGCCACCTTGAGGTTCCGTTTGTTGGTGGGAGAAAGTGTTACAGGTAGAGGTCTCCTTTTTGTATTTAAGCCCAGGAAAGAAATACTGGCTATTGTCATTAATTTTTAATATTGCTTACAGCCTTTAAAGCACAGACCATAGAAAGTGTTCTCTCTGAAAAGCAAGTTGTGTTGTTGTCTCTCTCTCTCTCTCTCTCTCTCTCTCTCCCCTAAAAGAAAAATGTCTGATAACTTGTTTGGGAGACATGCATTCCCCCCGCCCCCTGCATTTGCCTTAAAATAAGATCTACTTTAAAAAACCTTGCCTTTAAGTAGATTCTTTAAGATGCGCCTGGGGCTGCTTTGATTACTGACCACAGTGCTTCAGTTGTGGAAAGACCCTTTCAGTGTTATGCGCAACATTGCTTTTGAGACTCATTTTCGTCTCCAGCGAGTACACGGAACTGTTCCCCAGGCAGTGCGTCTGAGGGTGGGGCTCGAGGATGCGTATTGCCCTCAGGTCATCCCATTTTATAGTTATGTAGCTTATAGACTAGGTTGGGCACTTCTGGAACATGGGTATAAAAATGTGTATTTTAGATTGTAAGAGAGATGCTCTAATGGGGTGTTTCTGAAGTTGCTGTCTTTGACAGTAGAATGAAACCAGGTATTCTGACACTTTTCCCTACTGGAGTGGTGAGTTCCAAGGGTGCCTATTAAGAGCTGTTTTTTTTAAAGTACAGTTTCTTTTTTATGTGCTTGGATTATGTGCCAAAAACGGGGCTTAAACCAAGTGATCTGCTCCAGTTCTGCCGCCCTCTCTTTGGAGGACACCTGCCCGGAGGAAGCAGGTTGGAGGGAGATGGGCAATGAGGGAAACTGGACCAACCTGAATTTACCCCACAGCGTCCAGCCAACCCGGACCAGCCTCCGGGCCTCTTCCTCGACAAGGCAGTGGGGCTCACAGGAGAGCACGGAATTTGTCACTGATGACCTTGGCGGTCTTGATCGGCTCTCGCTGGAATGATTTTCAGTGGGCACCGTCCAGGCTTTGGAGGAAGGGGCCTCATTAAATTGAGCTCTTAATGTCCTACGTGTAATATTTCTGTTTACACATCTTAATTGCACTTACGGTGAAAACTTATATCACTTGAGTTCACCCATTTTACAGAGGTAAGAACCATGGTTTTAAAAGGAAATCAAGATTTTGTTTTGTTTTGTTTTTGTTTATTTGTTTTTTTGCGGTACGCGGGCCTCTCACTGCTGTGGCCTCTCCCATTGCGGAGCACAGGCTCCGGACGCGCAGGCTCAGCGGCCATGGCCCACAGGCCCAGCCGCTCCGCGGCACGTGGGATCTTCCCGGACCGGGGCACGAACCCGTGTCCCCTGCATCAGCAGGCGGGCTCTCAACCACTGCGCCACCAGGGAAGCCCTGGATTTTTTCTTTTTTTTTTTTTTTTTGCGGTCCGCGGGCCTCTCACTGCTGTGGCCTCTCCCGTTGCGGAGCACAGGCTCCGGACGCGCAGGCTCAGCGGCCATGGCCCACAGGCCCAGCCGCTCCGCGGCACGTGGGATCTTCCCGGACCGGGGCACGAACCCGTGTCCCCTGCATCAGCAGGCGGACTCTCAACCACTGCGCCACCAGGGAAGCCCTGGATTTTTTCTTTTTAACGTTACAGGTTTTACCAGAATTGAATTGAGGTTTATTGATTAGTTGATGTAATAGTTGGCAATAGAATATTTCCAGATGAGCTGTAGGTACGTAGAGAAGCAGCATCTGGACAGAGGAGGAAAGTTGACTCTGACCATCCATTTCCAGGTGCTGTAAAACTTAGACCAAATCCTTTACTCTAAAGGAATCACTCAAAGATTGTTTCTCAAAGCATATTTAGGCCCAAACAGGACCCCACTCGTTCTGAGCAGAACTTTAGTAAAACGGTTTTTTTTAATCTAGAGATTTGAGCAAAAACATTGCAAAGCATTTGTGGAGCTTGGTTCAGCACGTCTCCTGACCGCTTGCTCTGTGCTGGGTTCTGAACCAGGGGATGGGGACCAGGTGGCTGCCTGCAGCCCTGGGCCTTCCGCCCCTGATTTCTACTGAGAACGATACCAGCTGCTGTTTACTGAGCATCTCCTCCACACCCGGCTCTGTGCTGAGGGCTGTCCATGGATCACTCATTTCATCTTTATAACAACCCTAAGTAGGTGCCATGATCCCTATTTTTTAGCTGGGGAAGGTGAGGGAGCAGAAAGTTTCTGGCATGCCTGGGATTACCCAGCCCTGGGTCAGCTGTCGGGGCAGGTGGCACTCTGGTGGGTGAAGAGCTGCGGCTGTGACATAGTTAGGGCCCCGGTGGGGTGTGGGTGCCGAGTGGCCAGGCTGGCTGTCCAGAGCAAAGGTGTAGTTCCCCTGGCTGGAGCAGAGGGGCCTCAGTGCCTCACTGAGAGGAGATGGGGGGAGTGGAGAGGGTGTGAGAGCTTGCAAGGTGCATTCTGAAAACTCACTCTGGAGGGAGAGCGTGAATGAACATGGGGAAACTCTTTTAATTGGGAAGACACAGGCACTGAGGAATAGTTTAGGTCTTCTAAATCGGAACTATTTGCTATTACTTATCTGTTCTCTCAAGGAAGTTATTTAAAGACACGGAATACATTTCAGCTTTAACTCGAGATTAATGTGTAGTCAAAAGTAGCTTTCTTGAACAACGTTATATAACCTGTGACTTTTCGATAAGTATTAAGGTAGAACAGTGCATGCTTCTGCATGCACTGTGCGCTGTGTGACTTAATGCATGTGTCCCAAAGATTCCTTGTCACCGACCATAGGAGAAACACTGAAGAATAGCACAAGTCGTGAGGTTGGGTTGGGTTGTTTGTTGGGTTGGGTTGTTTGGATTGGGTTGTTTGTTTTTTTGTTACTGAGCTGCATGAGCTGCTTGTAAGTGTTGGAGATTAATCCTTTGTCAGTTGCTTCATTTGCAAATATTTTCTCCCATTCTGAGGGTTGTCTTTTGGTCTTGTTTATGGTTTCCTTTGCTGTGCAAAAGCTTTTAAGTTTCATTAGGTCCCATTTGTTTATTTTTGTTTTTATTTCCATTTCTCTAGGAGGTGGGTCAAAAAGGATCTTGCTGTGATTTATGTCATAGAGCGTTCTGCCTATATTTTCCTCTAAGAGTTTGATAGTGTCTGGCCTTACATTTAGGTCTTTAATCCATTTTGAGTTTATTTTTGTGTATGGTGTTAGGGAGTGTTCTAATTTCATACTTTTACATGTACCTGTCCAGTTTTCCCAGCACCACTTATTGAAGAGGCTGTCTTTTCTCCACTGTACATTCCTGCCTCCTTTATCAAAGATAAGGTGACCATATATGCGTGGGTTTATCTCTGGGCTTTCTATCCCATTCCATTGATCTATATTTCTGTTTTTGTGCCAGTACCATACTATCTTGATTACTGTAGCTTTGTAGTATAGT